AGCCCCCATTTTAGTACAATTGATAAATTATTAATCAGCTTTCAAATTTGCCAATGATATTACCCGGAGAAAGGAAAGGATAAGATTGCCGTCATGAATTTCCCTGATCGTTTGGCCTAGTGCTTCCGCCATAAATGTAAACTGTTGGTTATTGCGCTCTATACGTTCAACTTTTTGTACGGATTCGTCTGTGCCATTTTGTTTCCATTACACAAAACAGATACTAAGTGATCAATTGTAAAAAAATTATGACAAGTTATTACATAATAATTTTCCTTTCATAATCGTTTCTATTAATTTCTTTTGAACACAGATCTTATGGTGCTTACTGAAACACGTTTTGCAAATGTCTAAGTGCTTTTTAACTGAATATATTTAGTATGAAAAAGTTTGTAATCAGGATGTGCTATTGAAATTGCAATGGAAATGAAGCCCATTATTGATTAATTATGTAACAAAAATAGAAGTTTCCTGCGTATCTCGTTAGGTGGTTAATGTAAAATCCACCATTGTGTTTAGCTATTAAAGTTTAAATGTAATGTAAGGCAGTACATATTAGATTAATTGGAATAAGAATAACAAAACAAATGAACATACTGTCCACGTTATATGAACTCTGTTGGATAGTTGTCTCATTGGCAATCATACCGCATCTCTTTATTCTTAAATCATAATAAAGAGTCAACTTGAACTGATCTTTTTTCTGAAGTTTACTGAAGCAAGATGTACTTTAAAGAAATAAGAAGTGTCATAAGCCAAAATCAGAATTACGTAATTAGAAAAAGATACCCAATTAATTTCTTATGAAAGCAAGTGAAAGAACTTTAGTTGTATTTAATGAGTACATAAAGATCATTTGTAGATACAGCTGAATTCTTGAAGAAGCTTGTCATTTTTTGTTTGAAACTTGACGAAAGACCACCTTCAAGCTACTTCGATAATTTTTTACATTAACTGTTATTATAAAATTTTAAATAACCCTTACTTTGTAACTACAAAATATTTCAACATTTCTTATCCTTGCTGCCAAAATTTAGAGATGCATATGGATGAACAAAACAACTACGTCACGGAATTTACCCAATCAAAATATCAAATTGTTTTGGTTTTTTATTTTCCGTGTCTTTTATTGTTTCCTTGTTTTTGCTATTCGTTATTGAAGTTGCATTGAAGTTTGAAATACGAAATGTTCTTCATAAATCAACAACGTAGCCTGCAACATAGTAATAATTGAATACACGTCGAGGAAAACGTTAATGTTAGTTCATTAAAGATCTTCGAAGTCGGTACTGTAACTGTTTCTCTTATTATTTTAAATTTCTGAAATCTGGAGGTTTGAGCAAAAAGCAATTTGAATTTGACCTGTACATGTTTTCATCATGGTCATTTTATGGAAAAATTATAAAAATTAGATAGTATAATAATAAATCACAGCGATAAAGTTTAACCTATTGTCATTCTTAAAAATACCATAAAGTTCTTCCAAAAAGGGTTTCAATTGTTCCCAGCCAAATTCTCAATCTCTTGCCAATAACAATCCAATTAAGATTATAACACAATGTTGACTGTTGTACCCCTATTTTGACATTTTTACTTAATATGTCTGTTTGTTTTGTTCACATATCTTGTCAATATAATGGGATTTTATGCGACTGTCATACAAGTGAGAGGTTTAGCTAGCTATAAAACCAGGTTTAATCCATCATTTTCTACATAAGAAAATGCCTGTACCAAGTCAAGAATATGACAGTTGTTATTTATTCGTTTGATGTGTTTGGGATTTTGATTTTGTCATTTGATTACGGACTTTCCGTTTTGAATTTTCCTCGGAGTTCGGTATTTTTGTGATTTTACTTTTTGCTTATTTCTTTATGTAGATAGGTAGTAGAATAGCAAAACTAAAATCATTGAAATTGAAATTACGATAAATTTTGATAAGAAAATACGAAGATGCTATTTTTTTTGACGAAAACCTTCAAAACAGGTTGGTCGATACAAAGTTGACTTTTTCATTTTTGTTATTTCTGTTATGTGTCATGTTTTATTATCCTGCTAATGATACGCATATATATTAATGAATCTTCATGCATCATTACCAACACTGTATTGAAAGAAAAACCTTTAAATACGTGTGGTTTTCTCAGAATGTTGGAGAAATTCTCTCAATAAGACGTTTCTATATATAAATAAACAAACAATAGTGATACTAAAAATTACAATTGTCATCCAGATAGCTTAAACTTTTCTGGAAAAACCGATCTAGATGAGCTTCGAATTTTAATAAGTATTAGTTGGGTTGCATGTCAATGCCCATCATAGCTATTTAATTAAGTTCTCTTTTTCCTAAAGATTATCGGACATATAGATAGTACTTGAATATCTAAATTTTGTGACAAAAGAATTCATTTTGAAGATCATTGATATTCCGTTCGTGCTGTATTATAAAATAGAATGCAATTTATAGTATTGGAATTATTTGCCTTAGAATTACCAACGATGCAATTGGAATAATTCATAGACATCATTCATTCCCAAAAGTAAATGAAAGGAATACGGTAATCTTTTTCTAAATCTTAAACCACAGCAGGAATCACTAGGTCAAAAAATACGACGCGTACACACGAACTAAAAGAAATTATTATTGTATTCAATTGTCAATTCCCATCGTTCATCCTAGGATACTTTTTATACATGTTATTTTGGTCTCGCTTGTGACGAAAATCATAGCGATCCTATATTTGGTCGGCGTTGTCAACAACTCGATTCAGTATGTGGCTAAACTAGTTTTTGACACACTCGGACATAAGCTTTATCGTGATAATGAGATACATCTAAAATAATTTTTAATATTTTTTTCCGCATATTACAGATACATATTCTTTATGGCAGTCTGGGGTTGAAGGTTTTTTTTTTAGACGTCAATGATTTAGTCAAACTTTCATGGAATTTCTGAAACTTAGTGAGAAGCGGCGATCATGATGTAGTGGAAGCGTCTGGAGCACAAATTTAGATTTTCCTCCGAAAGACCGTCATAAAGAGATTTTTTTTACTAAACATTTAGATACAATCAAGGTTTTTAAAACATCAATTATATCTTTTTTTTAAACTATCAGAGAATTTCAGGAAACTTTTACGGAGGCTTTTCATAATTAAGAGATATCATCTCGAGTGAAATATCATGGATCGCCTCCCATTAACGAACTTAGTGTTAATTCTATTTATTATATATTATATTTTGCTATCAAACTGAAGGTTTGTTGTTAAAAGATTTTAAACTTTAATAACTTTGTCTAACTTCTTCATAATCAAGAGAAAACACCTTTTTTATTCGGGTTTTTATACTTTTCTGATACATGGACTTAGTATTTTTGCAGTCAATATTACTTACTTTTAAAATGAAGGAAATTGTTGCAAATAAAACACAGAATTACGCTCATTCCCGGTTCAAATTATCGTTAAAGGTGACTTTAATGGCATTGTCGCAACATCTTTTCTGGATGAATTATTTGAGGTTCCTAATACACAGCTGTCCTATTTTCAAATATTTAATGACAGATTTGCATTCTCTCGTGTTATTTTTGTCTGAAATAATAAAACGTGTCATTATTGTGATTTTATTAAGTCAACTCGTACAATGTTAAAGCCTTAACATTACATGCAATTACCCCGCTCTCTTTATCGCATATCCGAAAATGTTTTAGAAATGAAAGTCTTGGTATTTATCTTAAAACAATTGCGATAGGATTTGATGATTGATTCTATGAAAATATACCACCGACGTATGTCTATGTGTATTACGAATACACCTTACGTTATATATTTGTTATTTTTTCATCATATGATTCTTCAGCACTGTTGTGAAGTGAAGCCGAAGAGAGAAGAGTCCTTTTAAATATAATACCAATAAGCATTATATTATTGGCAAAAAAGATGACATAGATATAGACTATTTGGTCGCCATTATTTCTGTATACGAAACTCCGCATGTGACGTAAGTTTTCCTACCCGGAAACTTATAAAATCTGATTTTCATTTAAAACATTTGCAAGACACCAACTATTTTGTAATAATTATTTGCAAATCATCATTAAACTTTCTTTCAAACTTTTCTTTAATGTATTGTAAAATATCAAAGTGGAAAGGTTATGTATGGTTTTTCATTAAATTATTTTTGCGCTTTTGTTAATTATGTTCGAGAGAAGTTCATTAGATGCTACTAAATTAAAGGAAATTACGAAAACACGATCACGTTTTCACACCATTAATCAAAATGAGCATTTCAACATGGTAATGACTTAAGAGTTGAACAATCTTTCTTGAAAATTGGAAATTGTTCTGTCTGAAAAACAAATTAGCCATCAATGAATTACTGTACAGATTATATGTTATTCAACTTTCTATTCAATTTGATCAAAGTTTAAAAGCAAACATCATTTGTATATATCTATATAATTCAAGGAATTTGGCATATAAGGGAGTTTGTCCTATCAATGTAATTGATAATAGGTTGGAAGATTTGTCGACACTAGCGGAATCATGTCTTGTTTTATTCTATGTGATCTGCAGACTTTAAGTGAACATGTGGAACCACCTAGTATATACAATAAGGACATATAGTATGATTTCCAATGAGACAACTATCTACTAGAGACCAAATGGAGTAGATGTTAGCAATTATATGTCACCATACGGCCTCCAATAAGGAGCATAACCCATAACAAATGTGTATAGTATGTTCCCTATGTCTTGTTGGTGTAAGAAATTCATCATGAATCCCGGCAGGAATAAATAAATTGAAAGTAAAGAATATACTGCAAGTGTCTATATAAACTTGTAATACATTACATTGATAATCCCATGTCTAAGGTTCTACAAAAGAGTACAATACAAAGTTTGAGAACTTAACGCTAGGTGTGCTTTCTGAGTTTTTGTAATAAATGATATTGACACCATTACACATTATATTAAATAATATTTTTTATACATTCTTATCTTTTCAGACGGTTAATTACTCGGCAGCCATGAATTTATCTGACATTCAATTTTTTAACACAATCAACTTTTCACTGGAACAGTACCTGCAAGTAACAGCAGATCTCCAGTCAGAATCCTGGTTTGAAGACACAACACAAGGGATATTCATTATGATATTCAGTCTATTAGTGGTCGTTGGATTTACCGGAAATCTATTAATGTGTTGCGTGATCATACGGAAACACGTCAAGTCTCGACAGAATTTGTTCATTTTGAATTTAGCCGTTTCCGATATCTTTACATGTGTTTTTAGTATTCCATTTACTGCAGTTAGACTTTTAACGAAAAACTGGCCTTTGGGAGACATTATGTGTAAACTTGTTCCGACACTTCAGGCTGTGTATGTATTCGTATCAACATTTACAGTTTTAGGAATTGCAATTGACAGATATTATGCTATCGTCCAGTGCACAAGTAGGTCGTCCAAAAAATCTAACTTGATTTATGCTTTTCCTACACTGTGGATGATATCCTTTGCCTTAGCTCTGCCAATGTTTATTTCCCATGGCGTTGAAACAGTAGAAGTCATTCCAGATCATCAAGTACATTTACATTTTTGTATGGAAAATTGGAGGTCACAATCATTTAGACAGTTTTATGCTGTTTTGATATTAATAATACAGTTTGGGTTGCCATTGATAGTTGTTGGAGGTCTTCATATTCTTATTTGTAAATTTATGTGTTTGAGACTAAGACTGCAACCGGCTTGTTTTAGCAACAGTCAACGAAAACAACCAAGAAGTGTAATGCGTCATAGAAAAAACGTTATTCTTTTAACTGCAGCCTCCTTGTCATTTGTTGTCACGTGGCTGCCATGGGCTATAATAAACCTACTTGCAGATGTGAATTATAAGATTTTTGAAGGTGTTGATTTCCTGTTATTACATACAATAACGCATGCATTTGCAATGTTGTCAGTGTGTATAAACCCTTTAGTATATGGTTGGTTCAACACAGCTATTCGACGCGGGATCGAGATAATGATATTCCAGAAGAACTATGGCCTTGAACAGTCGACAAGATTTACAACAGTTGGAACAGACAGAAAATCATCAAAAGTATGATCTGATTTGTTCAAATAAAATGTGATAAATTTCTCTTTGTTTGTCTTACAAATGAAGTCAGAACATTTTAAGATATCATTATCACTTAAATCCTAATGATACTATATTTGACAATTTATTTTTTTCTAGTAAGAAAAAAAGATAATGTTTCCATAAGAAGTTCCTTATTTTCATTTTAATCCTGCTTTAGTCTAACTAGTAAGTTCTCTATAATGCTTTTGATGAGAATTATAAAAGGAATCTATGATCGAATAATTCAATGAGAAAAATTATGTTCCATATAAATCTTTAGAAACCTTATTATGAAGGGTTTGGGGAGGATACAATTCTCCATAGCTTTTCAGATATATTGAAATTAGCAAATAACAGCATTAAAATTACAATATATACACAGAAGATAAGTATCTACACAGCAGTCCATCAATATATACACAATAGTTCTTGTATGACATACACGAGGTTTTTTTTATTATTTATTTTGAGTGTTGGGTTGGATGGTAAATCTTTTTTACTGTTTCGATTTAAATCATTTACACTTTTTTGTTGACTCTGTGACGATTTTGAGCTGGACAAAATGTAAACACCTGTCTATTGTTGAAGACTGTATGTTTCCCTCTAGATGACATTTGATTATCTGTGTTGTCTCCTTTCATTCATAAACACGATTAATTGAGATATCAATTTAACAAAACAAAAAGCTAGGAAAGTCATTAATAAAAATGATAAATGATATTCATGATCAATAAGTAACTGAACAAAAAGAGAGGAAAAATAATGCAAAGACATCTACATCTGTTAGCGTAGATGAACTTAAATGATAAAAGTTGAACGTATGGATGAACGTGAGGCATATTAATGTTAACTGCCGGAAACAAAACAATCATTTTGCATTTTCAGGTGACATCTTACTTTTACAAATGAAAACATATTAACATCCCAAACAAAACTGAAAATTATAAACCGTAGCATGTTGTTCAGTTCGTTGCAGAATCAGAACGTGCTTAGATCAACCATACACCAGAACTGATCAAACATGCACCAGAACAGATCAAACATACACCAGAACTGATCAAACATGCACCAGAACAGATCAAACATACACCAGAACAGATCAGACATACACTAGAACAGATCAAACACACACCAGAACAGATCAAACACACACCAGAACAGATCAAACATACACCAGAACAGATCAAACACACACCAGAACAGATCAAACACACACCAGAATAGATCAAACATACACCAGAACAGATCAAACATACACCAGAACAGATCAAACATACACCAGAACATCTCTATTAGTTCCATCAATTCAAAACAGTTCCTGTATTAATTTCATCAATTTCAGATTAATCAAACCAGAACGTAAATATATATTAAGTTTAACCTATTGAATCTGCTGGCATGAAAAATGCCCAAAGCAACAACACGAAAATACAAGGAAATTATTGTTTATGAAATTAATATCATCCCCCCTCAGCCTTTATTACGATTCATGAAGCAGAGAAACATATATATTATACATCATTTAATTGCTACAATAAACCTTGTTTTAAAAACTATTTCTCATTAACTAAGACGGCTTCACGAAGAAGCTCAAATTTCGAGCTTTTTCTTTTTCATGACCTCTTCCTCAGATAGACAGACTAGTCAAATGACAACGGTTTAATTTATAACAATACAATTTACGAAAAAGAAATATGACAAACATGAACAAACGACAACCACTGAAATACAGGCTCCTGACTTAGGACCGGCACATTAAAAATGTTGCGGTGTTAAACATGTTTCTGAGCGCTCAACCCTCACCATAACTAGAGATAGTGGCGTAGCAGCCAAATACAACTTATAAATATAGCATATTATCAAAGACTAAAGCATCAATCAGTACACATCCAACGGATTTAGTTTTAAAACTGTATGAAAAACGCATGACCTTGTGCAACGCCGAAATATAATTATCGTTAGGATGAGTACTGGATAACAACATATTTGTTCTGTTGTTGGACGGTTTTTTTTTCAATAGACAGTCCCTTTTTGGAACCAATTGTGTCTTTTTTGCTTACAACAGACAATAGGTATTTCTTACGGGGGCAATTGTTCTTTCTGACCGTTCTGCACTAGTCCCTTTATTATTACGATGTAGACTTAAGAAAGAGGCATAAAAAAGAACGAAAAGAAGGTCGTATTGTCCTATATCTTTACATTTTGCTATACAGATGATGTTCTCTCACTGAAGTTTTTAAAAAGTTGCGTCTATGTTGATAGCCCCTACCACATATTGTTCCGTCCGAATCATACATTGTCTCAAAGCTACGAATTGACAACGAAGATCGATTAAAAACTAAATTTTACGATTTAAACAGACTTGATAGTTTTCATGATTGAATAAGCATAATTCCGACACCACTTGAATGCAGAATTTATATATTCCATATGATAAAATTCATTGGTATGGTTGCTGTTTACAAGCAACCTAGTAATTCAATTGTTCTTAAGGTCAAGTTGAAATATCTATTTAAAAAAATTTACGTATGCCATCATGATTTGGTTTTGTGTTTATTATGTGGAAAAGCTGAAATCACCACTTTTGTTATAGATTCTGTTTTTAAAGTTGTCCATGTGTGTCATTATCAAGAAACATATCCAGATATAAAGCAGACAAACTTGATTCGGTTATATCATAAATTCAAGTTTACTGCGATATATGAGATGTTTGGCGTACTTAATGGTAAGCTTTTTATCTTTGATGAGTTTTTACAACTGCTGGGTCTAAGCTACTGCTGGTGGACGTTTTGGCCCCGTGGGTATCCTCAACCCAAGAGTCAGACCATTTGTTCTTGCAAGCCATAGCATTGGTATGGTAATTTTTTGTCATTAAAGTTCAAACAGTTAATCAAATATTTATGTCTTTGAAAAAACGTTCCCCTACCATGCATGAATGGTCCAAGTCAGATTTGGTATATTTTTATTAGGAATTAATGGTTTCCTATGATCTTCAAACTCCTCATTGATTTGGTTTTCAAACAGTTTTTTAGGTATGTGTAACTAGTGAGTGTAATTTAAACGAAAATTAACATCCGTCTGACTTTCTAAATTATAATGCTGGTATCTTTGATTAGTGAGATTTTATATTGGTTGAATTTTAAGGCTAGTACCTTTTGTTAGCTATTATTCGTGTGTTTCTTTGTCCTATATGTTCTCCCATTTATTTGTATTGTGGTCCTGTCATGTGATGTTGTCGTTTGGTGTTGTGTTTGACGTTGCCATAAAAGCGGGAGGTTTGGCATGCCACAAAACCAGGTTCAACCCACCATTTTTTTCTTAAAATGTCCTGTACCAAGTCAGGAAAATGGCCATTGTTATATTATAGTTCGTTTCTGTGTGTGTTACATTTTAATGTTGTGTTTTTGTTGTGTCGTTGTTCTCCTCTTATATTTGAGGCGTTTCCCTCAGTTTTAGTTTGTAACCCGGATTTGTTTTTATCTCTATCGATTTATGAGTTTTTGAACAGCGGTATACTACTGTTGCCTTTATTTAGATACTGAGTCTGAATTTTCTGAGATTTATAAAAGTTCGGTATGAATAGCTTAAAGAAAAATATTCTCTTTCTATATTCAATAAAATTCGGTAAAAATTAGCTTTGGCAATGTATAATATTGTGTCCTCAGATAATCTTCATGTCGTTGCTGTATGAACTATACCCGGATCAAAATACTTTTCATAAGCCTGTAAGAAGGCATGTCTGAATCAGCAGGTTAAGCTCTGTGATCTTGCTTCTCAGTATCAGCAAGTGTATTTTGAAATTATAAATCAATGTTGTTGTATTTGTACCAGTTTTTTTTTTGTCTATACCACCGGAGTCAAGTGATCTTTCTAAACAGACTAACACGTTCTCCAACGTACACTTAGATAGTACACTAATCGAGATTAACAGTGAATAGCTAAGAGCTTAATGGAAATAGGTGTCTTGCATTTCATGTTCGTGAATGTTTCCCAAGACAGGAAATTCGCAAATGGTTGCCATTCTTTTACTCATTGGCCAGATTTAAACCATAAGTGTCCATTAAAGTCTGTGATTAAACGTTTTACCAAATATAAACAAAAATAAAAAATGTTTTAAATCTTTGATGAAATTCAGCTAGTCAGTTACATTAAACGTATGGTAAAACTATTTTATGACTTTTGAACAGCGGTATACTACTGTCGCCCAAATTTAATTCAAGTATATTACCGACTGAATAAACTCTACATAAAAGACTTATTATTGACGCCCGAATAAAAAAAAACCCTTTAGGCCAAATAAAGTACGAAGTTGAAGAACATCGATGACCCGAAACTCAGAGAAGTTTTGCCAATTACAGATAAGATAATCTATTTCTGGGGTAAAAAAATCCTTAGTATTTCGCAAAATCCAATGATTTGTTTACAGTTAATTTATAATTATGACCATATCAATGATAATTCATGTCAACACAGAAGTGCTGACTACTAGGACAGCAGTGGCATCGACCTAGTGGTTGTAAATAAACTCATCATAGATACCAGGGTTAAAAAGACGCGCGTTTCGTCTACATAAGACAATGGCAGTAAAATAAAGTAATACTTCCATAATAAGACTCACCAGTGACGCTCGAAACAAAAAAAGTCAAAAAGACCAAATAAAGTACGAGATAGAAGTATGTTGCAGGATCCTGACAAACGGGAAATGTTCTAAACATGACACCCATTCTGACTGTTCATTCCGAATAAATGATTAACAGGGAAAGTAGAGTTACACAAATTTAACCAAATGTGCAAAAAGGTAAGTATTCAAATACCATTTGATTTCGTTTAAATGCTTACAATGAATTTGTATCATTTGTCAGATACAATCAACTTAAATGTTAATTAGTATGAATGACAATTAAATTATATGTATATAACACGTTATAAGATCGAAGTATGTGACGTTTCATCATTTATTCAATATTGGTATCTAATCACTCGTGCTG